GAAAATTTCACATTGTTACACTATGTGCTATTTGTGATGTCAAAAACTAAAAATGTTATTAAGAATTTAAGGCCTTATCGCAATCTTCCCTACTCGGAGAGAACGCGTTGACGTCATTGCTTACATCCCTATCCCGGCAGCCCCTGTGCTTATGGGTATATATACACCCATGACTTCCGCCGGCACAAAAGAGTATTGCATTACTTTCGATTTCCTCCAAATTTGGTGTGTATGTCGTTGAAATACTGAACGATTCATGTACTGAGTTTGGTGATAGACATTTGAATGCAAGCTACACAACTCTCATTTGAAATGTCATGTTTCACTGTGGAAGATGGCATCGTCCTCTAAACGATCGCGTGTGAGCCCTATCTCCGCCGAAATGATACTGGAGGAACTATTTAACGAAAACCCCGCTGAGGGGATGAAAAGCGGAGAAGAAAGCGATCTGGACCGGCAGCTAGCAAATGAGAGTGGGGGATAGAGGTGAGAAGTCAATAAATGCCATCGCCAAATGGTCGGCATCGAATGCGTGGTCTTGAAATGCGAAGTTGTTCGCCTCATGTTGCCCTATTGTGTTTGATTTCTCGTTCAGTTCCTCAAATTAGATTATAAATCGATTTAAGGGACTCTACAAAAAAGTAATTTGCGCCGAGAGCATGTTTTTAGCGATAAGATAAGATACGATTCAAACTATTTCACAAGCGTAATTGGAAGCCAAGTTCGATCGGCTGTTACCATGGACATGCATGTTTTGGTTTCGTCGGTTACGTGCGATCAGTTGGCGATTCAGTTTAGTATTGATTTTTCATTTAGTTAATTCTGAGTAACATACGGAATATAAACATTGTACATTTGATATTTTTGGCGAAGGAGAAGTTGAAGATGACGAGCGGCCGGAAAAGGCTAGCGCTTCCACTGAGGCTCCTGGTGAGTGAAATATTTCCATCTGGCAAAATTTAGAATCACAATGATAATTTTCGGATGCGCAGACCATAGAATAAAGGAAAAAAACATATGTTTGCTTTCTTTATGTTACTTGGTTTATCATAACTAATCTGCGGGATCTATGGACTTAATCAACAAAACTATAATATTTGTTATGTTTGTGTAGGTCCTGGAAGATTCTATGGTGCTGGTGCTGCTGGTGTTCCCCCTCGAGTTCGTAGTTTTCCTGCTTCTCGAGTTCGTAGTGTTCCTGCTACTCGAGGTCATGCAAGTGGTCCAGCTGGACGCAGAGGTGTGCGTGGTCGTAGTCGGGCTCGTGCTCCTGCTCAAGTTGAAAGCGGGGCCCCTTTAAAATCGTATAATGATCCTGATGTTGGGAATCCCATTCCTCCTTTAATCCCCCCCCTCCCCCCCCAGGCCAGCTGGAGTCCATTTTGAGCGGCGTCGACTCAGGAGCACGGCCGTAGAGTTTTTTAACTATTTTTTTTTAGCATGGAAATGATCAATGATAGGTTAGCTATGCATTGGAACATGTATTTAGTGGGTCCCAATAGAGTTAAAAAAAAAAACCTTTAAAAAGAGCTATTTTTAAAAGAAAAGACATTGTTACACTCAGGGGTAGTTTTGAAACATATAATGTAATTATTCTGCAGTAAATGGCTTGAACCCGGGGGTAATATGTGAAGGAGTAGTCTGATCGTCCGGGAGAGTGTAGTCCTGAGAAGGACTGCTGTCGGTGGTAGTGACTGACGTTTCGACAACCTGTGCGGAAGTCATCATCAGAGTCAAGTGAATGATTGTTGTCAGATGAATGTTCTTATTCCAGTTCGTGGGAAATGATCGGTTGGCTTTGCCGTGATGTTATTGGCTGTGAGACTCAAGTGACGTAAGTCGGTCGTGATTGGTCTGTTTCGATCTGTCGGTAAAGTTAGGTCGTTTTTTTTCGGTCGTTTGTGATGTTTATGTCGTGAATGAGTCGTTTGTATGGGGCGGGTAGTTGTTGACATCTGTTTAGGGGAGTCTGTTCTAAGTTAGTAAACCAGCTTTCTAG